AGCAGATACGACCTTGCTTTGCTGCTGTATACTGCCGGCACGCAGAGACCCTTGGAGATAAGTTTTTAGATCCAGGAGTAAATAATTTTAAGAACTTACCTTCGAGTTCCCGACTAATAAAACCAATAGACCGGTGATTGTATAATATGGTGATAGCTACTAAAAATATATTCGAATTAATTTAAACAAGTCAGCCAACTTGCTGGCCCAAAAAATGTAGATAAGAATCTAGTATTTGCTGAAACCAGTGCTGATTTCTTATCTGATCATGCCCCATTATATATTGTTATAAATTTTTAATGAGCTAAAGGCCTTGTTGATTGTGTGAATTGAATGTTGTATTAAGTGCGCTAATTTAGCCTCTTTTTAGCTTGGTTAGTGAGTTGTCTTGGAATCTTCTATACTTTCAGGCGTTCATTGACTGAAAAATGTATAGGCAGGATTAAGTATAATTTCAGGTTTAACTTATATATTCATAATTGTTTTTTTGCGGCCATGCTATATAGTAATTTTTAAAATTAGTATTAAGTAAACTAAAGGTCTGTTTTGTTTGTATGAATTGAATATCTTTGTTTTACAACGTAGATAATTTAACAAGTGACAGCTGTTTCGGAGATCACCACTTCTCCTCATCAGACTTCTTATGGCAGGGATCAAATGTTACAACAACAACAACATCAAATGCATCTGCGGGGTTCTGAATTATATTTAGATATTTTAAATTGAACATATATACAAAATTCATTAAACTTAAACTTTTTATACATTTAATTTTCCTCTTAACTTTCCAAATAAATGCCTTTAAGAGTTCAACCTGACAATTACGGCCGATCGTTATTTAAACTTAAAAAAAAAACAAATTATTATTTTATTTAAGATTTAATATATTAAAATGCAACTAAATGTACGGGCTTCCTTTTTAGGATGTGTATAACCTAACTACCAGTCCCCAACTTTTTTGTAACGAGATTGCTTTAAGTAAACCAAGTTTAATCATGGTGAGCAGTCTTTGGCTTTACTTTTCCATCCTCGACTTTCCTGGTACTGTTAGTTGAGGCATTTTGCTATGTGAGAATGCAGGGTGTCATTCTGCATTATTATCACTTTTGAATTCGTACTGGTAAAACCATGAGAGGCCACGTAGAATGCTGGAAATACTTCTGTTGTTTGCATAAAATCTGTCTCTTAGCACCTCACCTCATCGAGGATACTGACCTTAGGAGGAGCTCACTCTCTTCCGATGATTGTTATTCTAAGGCAACTTTCTGATCTTGTCAAAACTACACATACTCGTAAGGACAACGGCTGCTAGTAAGGACCCATAAGGCATTGACAAAACAAGATTTATAAATAACGCTTCATCAATGCACTAAAATCGCAGATATAGTCGACAAAAATCGGTAACGCACCGTTTGTCTGGGAATTCGCGTTAGAGGTGGTTAGTGGCGGGCAAAAACTCCACATGCGAGGTACATGTTGGGTATGTTGGGATCGAGACTGGGTAGATAGGAGTTTAACCTACTTCAAGTAGTGCCAGTGTCACGCGGGTCTTTTGAGGACGAACTATGAGAAAAGATGGTGCTTTTTCTCCGAGCACGCCACTTACGGGAAGTATTTGTAGTTGTTCACTGACGCCAGGTGAATAGCGTTTACTGCTTGTCTGTACGCCGTCCTGTCAAGGGGTTGTTGCACGTGTTGCTGAATGTTGTCCTTTTAGTCTAGTTCTTATTTTTTGATTTTCCTTGGTTGGAGTTTCAGCTTCAAAAAGATGCTTATTGGGATGCCACCTTAGGGAGGAAAAGCTTACACAGTGCAACATAGTTAACTAGCCATTTGCTTAGTAGGTTGCCAGCAATATTTATTTATCTTTACCCTATTCGCTGCCTGTTACCGCTTTGGGGATTTTCTCGTAACTCAGCAGTTTTGTACCATTAGCCATCGTATGCGAAGTGAAGGGGGGAAAGCTGTCGGTTGTGACTCACAATAATTTGGGTTGTTTATAGTTTGAATTTTGACGCCGTAGACTTTCACATCGAGTTTCATCCGGCACTCTTTCGCCCCGCCGGTGCATATGGTAGTCGAGGATAACAGTTTACTTCGGAACATAGGTCACCAAAATAACCAGACGCCAATAACAACCAATAATCGACATATGACATCAGGGAAATATCTTCAATGTATCACCTCGAAATTCTACCCATTAATAACGATCATGATCCACCTCTTCAGCCCCGGCGGTAAAGAGGATTCCTCAATGTCTGATAGCAGTACTTAATGGTTGAGACCATTGACTATCTAAGTGTTTATGGCGTTTAGTGCTACTATGGTACTGTGTAATTTGCGAAAGTCACGCTAATAAGCTTCTGGACTCAGATGCAGTGTTAAGTTCGTGAGCAGCCAGGCCTCAAGAGTCTTCGCTACTGGGAAGAGGAGAGATATTGGCCGATAGGACTCTCCTTTGTTGGCTGCCTCCCTGGGATGGAGCAGCACCACCCTGCCTATTTTTCATATATCGGGTATTTTTCGGGTGGTCAAAGATAAGTTAAGGACCGTCCTTATCCCGTCCATCGCACATCCTTCAACAGCGCCCCTGCCTTGAAACATTCTGTAAATCGCCATATCTTTTGTCGAACTTTCGAGCATTACCCTTGACGACCAGTTTCTTTAGCTATTCATACTCACGTATTCGGTCTGTTTTTTATCTGCACCGGCTACAAAGAGAATGTTAACGCAATATTTTGGGACTATCGTTTTCCAGGAACTTCTGGGCAGCTCGTACCAAAAGGGCTTTAGAGAGTATTTTAGCAGCAATGCCAAATGTTTTTTTTTTTTTTTTTTTTTTTTTTTATTTTTTTTGAAATCAACTCTGCTTCTCGGAAGCTCAACAGCTTACAGAGCTGATCCACGAAGGTGGGCGCGATGCTATAAATATGAAAATCGGTCGGATAATATGATCTACTTGAGCGCCTTGACCATATCGTATGCGCCANTTTTCCAGGAACTTCTGGGCAGCTCGTACCAAAAGGGCTTTAGAGCTTTTGTTTATCGCAATGCCTTTTTTTTTTTTTTTTTTTTTTTTTTTTTTTTACGCAATTGTCGATGTGCATTTTTACGTCTAAGCACAGATTCACAAAGTGTGCGTCATTCAAAATCAGTGCAGCGAATTATGGGCACATCTCCGTATTTATGAATAAGATTTTCAAATATTTCATGGCTTATTAACAAAAATATAATTGAAGCAAAAAATATTAATTTAAAAAAAATTATTCATTACATTTCGATCACGGTAATTTCTGCGATCTTTCTACTCGCTGTACACCACTGGCGTCGAAATTCTGTTATGTCCTTGCAAGTTCTTTTTTTACCTTCAATTCCCTTTTGATCAGGGCCCAATATCTTTCGTTTGCCGGTTGTTCAGGTGAATTTGCTTCTTTTGGAGCGAACGTTACATAGTTTTCCCAGTATTACTTAAGAGCCGCCTCCCTGTAATGGCATGATGAAAAATCAGGTCAAAAGAATAGAGAAGCATGATGGTTGGCTAAAAATGGCTTTAGTCTCTTTTGTAAGCATTCTTTCACATCACTATTAAGGGGTAAAGCCACTCTAGAAGTTGAAAAATATACTCTTTATTTAAATTATTGTAGGAATATGGGAAAAGGAATAGAATTTCTATTTAACCATTTCATTGAATATATATTTAAATATAAAAAAAATATACTTTAATTATTATTTTGTTAAAAAATGGCGGTGATAAACTCTAACTCTAATTTAAAAGGCGTAGACGGTAATACTCATTTAGTCTAAAGGATGAGACCTAGAACAGAAAAACAAAAAGTTTTATGATCTATATACTATGATCTTTGGAAATACGTACGATTTATTTTTACCTAAATTTTCTGAAAGCGGCACACTTTTTTTAAGTAATGAATTCTTATTAACAAATACGCACTAATAATTAAAAAAAATTTTACATTTACAGGCCCATTCTATCGAGGTAACAAAATTTTCTTTATTATTTTTTATTAAAGTTTAACATTCAGTAAATTTTTTTACCATTTCATATTCTGAGTTTGAGTTTGTTACCAGCGAAATATTAGGTAACAAACAATTCGCTGTTTTAGTTTGTGTGGTTAGTTTGAGAAAACATAAAAACCGAAATGGGTAGGAATATTTTAGGCGTGAAATACATTGAAAATGAAGAAAAATAGTGTAAGAAGTTGGGAGAAAAAAATGACCCTTTCAATTTGGAAGATAGCGTTTTCATTCAGTTTTTTTTTTTTGACGTTGCCTATTTTCCAAAATTATATGCAAATGTTAATTGAAAAACGGCTGCGTGATTCCAAAATAAAAATTTATTTCTGAAGTTACCATCAAAATTTCAGATAACTCGATGCAATAGGGGTCCAAATGTGATTTTGCGTGATGCGTTTAAAGCTTCTCATTGTACTCAGCGCACGCTCTGAGAGTCTGCAGCAAAATAAAAGATTCATATATTTGAAATATTTTTTTTCTTAAAAACCAATTGACCAATTGACCAATTGAATTACGTTTTCCGGAATCCTAGAGTGGATTTACCCCTTTATTGCACTAGTATTGCCGAAATTTTCGCTTCTATTTTTGCTTGCCAAATAAAACATTTTTGCGAAAACTTTGCTTTCTTTAAGTTTTGAATTTTTGCATCACGTTTCCTCTAGCATCAGTAACATGGAATGCTTAGCCGGGCAGCTGAGAAAAGTCGAACAGGACGTTAGTTTCGTTATCTATTATCTGCTTAATTTCCGCTTTTGTTTTTACTCTCCGCACAAAAGACTCCGTACAATGCGCTAAATTTTCAGCCCGGAAAGGTTGGAATTTCTCTTTAACATGGCCACACCCTTCTAAGCCTTTCTTTTGTCATCGCATTTTGAATATGATTGAATAGTTGTGCACTAATTTCTAATGACGCCCTCTTTATGTTCGTAAAAAACTGACATAGTTAATTATTTTTCATATATTTTTAGAACTCGGTTGGTGCGACACTCGTACCGGTTGTATTTCAAAAATCAAAACTACTATCGGGTATCAAATTTGGACGGACGAATAGAAAACGCAGACCATAGGTAAGTTAATGTTTCTCGTGCATATTTTTATATTATTTGTGATATACTTTTTGTGGAAGAAAATAAAATATTTAGTTTGAAAAGTGGGTGGCCGATAAAGGGGCTTATTAAACATTAAACATATATTAAACATAAGTATTTTTTATATCTTATTTTGTAAAAAAAAGGGGAAGAGGAGTATAATGTTTAATTGTTAGATATTTAATGATTTTTCGTTCAATGATAGTCTATTAATCAGAATTTATTATTGTTACAAATTTCTAATTATTGCAATAAACTACTTTGCAAATTAAGAATCAAACAAAGCAATGTTTTTTTTTTTACTAATAATGACTCGTTCGTTAAGACCTAAGTTCATGTATTTGGTTTTGATTTCAATCAATTAATTTCGTCTCCGTAACTTAATTCAATTGTAAATATCAACGAAAGGTAAAAAATCATAAAAAAGTAAGACATAAACCAGCGATGTAATGAGAGGCAAAAGGTCCAACACAAAAGCGCGACGGGCGAAAGCAAAAATATAGTGGAAATAAAAAATACCGCAGTAATACCTACCAAGTTTACTTATTTACACACAATTCAGCATAATGAAATTAATACTCCCCAATATACAGTGCTCTTCACCATTTGGTAATTACGATGGCAAACACTTCCACATATTATTTCTATTGCGGCCCCATCCAATCTACCAAACACAAATACTGGTAAGCTGATTATGGCAGCGTAGTAAAATCAAGTAAACAGATCCCACCAGACATTAAATTCAGTAGAGGAGAAAGGGCCATGAATATCAATCTAACCTTTGTTATGACAGTCATGCAAAACATAGCCCAATATTAAATAAATACTTCAAACCCTGATGGCCAAAAAAAAGAGTGAATACAGAATTCGTATGTGGGATACTAATGGCGTAAATAAATCTGTGCTCAGATTATTTTTTAAGATTTTCGATTTTCCTGGTGAATGGCGTTCAGTACTTGTTTGTACGCCGTCCTGGTCAGCGGTTGTTGCACATGTTGCTGGATTGTGTCCTTTAAATCTAGTACGCCCTTCCCCCCGGTCGTCGGGTTAGATCGCGACTTGACCGTAGCCTAGAGCTTGGTTGCCCCAGAGGAGAGGATGCAGGTCCTTAGGTGCTCCTCCCACTTTTTCCGCTTGTGAATGTTGACTAATCTTCGAATCTCCGCGCTTAAATCTCTCCGTGAAGCCGGATCAATTATCTGTTTTAAGTTGACAAATGTCCGGCAGGCTTTGGCAATTATTATGAGCTGGTTGGTGGTAAAGTTGTTGAAACATACGGGGGTAGACACCTACAGCACGGGGCAACATCCGCATCGCTCCACTCACGATAAGACGATACCGCACGGTGTTGTGCAGGATGAACGCTAAGCCCCCACCGTGTTGCTGCTGTAATACCCGCGAAAGTTGGTTCCGCACGTTGGCGTTGGTTGGCGGAGGGTTTGTCGAAACATGCGGGGGCAGACTCCTACAGCACCGGGCAACATACGCATCGCTCTACTCACGGGTGGTGCGCAGGCCAGAGCGTGTCCGAAAGTGACATCAGCCAGAGCAAAAGTTGCATCTGACTGAGGTCACGTTCCGACGCACTATGGTCTGACACACGGAACAGACTGTGCGGGGGACTAGGAGCTGCTGGGTAGCCCTCGCACGGGAGGAGATGAAGAGCTGGTTGTGGGTAGGTATGAAGGTGGAGGTTGGAGGGAGTCATGCTGCGGGGGGCCGTGTAGGTCTGTTGATTACCCAGAGTGGGTAAAGGTGCTGAAGGCACTGCCTTGGAGGCTGGGTTGGACACTGGCAGCATGGGGTCACATAACTCGTGGATCATTCCCTGTGAGCCTTAGGGCCTGAGCGGGTCCTAACGTGACTCCAACCATTGCACTGGTTGCATCTAACCGAGGTGGAGGAGTGGTGGAGTCATTTGTGACACACGTAGCAGAAATAGTCCGTCGGTCCAGGGTTGGTTTCTTTACCAGCCCTGATCAGAAGGATTTGGGGCGACCCAGCTGCAAGGTGTTGCTCCATTGGCGAACTTAGACTAAAAGTACCTGTTGACCTAAACGGGGTTAGGTCGCCGATAGGGTGCCAGCCCTTGGCCGGACGAAATCCGGGTCAACTCCGGTATGTAGAACCGGCTGTCGGATGAAAATCCTTTCCAAAATCTTCCTTAACTTCCGCTGCGGCTTGTGTGGAAGATAATCTTGGGTGTCTTTTTACCTTTCTTACTATTTACCAGCGTTCGCGGCCACTTAAAGCCTTAGGTCTGCGTGTACGTGTTGGGTTTTTCAAAAGATGAAACTCCTCAAACCGTTCCATTTATTGTTTCACCAGTTTCTGCATGTGATTTGCTCTGCTTATGAAATATAAAACTGTTTTAGTTTTAGTTTCACTTTTTTTGCTTCTCATTTTTCTGAAATTTACGCAAGGTCCACTATAACTAGAGGCACTAAAAAAACGCAATTGCTTATGTAGATATAACGCGACTTTTGAAGAAAAGTTGCTAGATCAATCAAAATTATGCAATATAACGCAGTGAAATTTATGTGTACCAATTAAAATAAAACGAATTGAAGTGAAAATAAATGAAAATGTGTCCGAATTGTGGTCAAAAAAGGTGTTAAAGTTGAACTATCTTACTGTGACAATACTTTAGTTCATCACTGTATACTCACTAATTAAATATTTTGGTAAATATTTTTCGTCTTGCGTTTTCAGTATTGTTGCTGTTATATCATATAGTGGCAAGTGTAACCGAGCTTAGGGGCATGTATAATCAGTCTTAGTCATCGAGCTCATCTAACAGTAGGTCCAGGAAACGAACTGTTTCGACGGTTTCGGACTGGGACATTACTTGAGTTGGGTTTAAGGGAAATGCAACCATGTGGTTAATGCCGTACGGGGACTTGTTTCATGTAGGACAAAATTGGGCATGTTGGGGTCAAGTCTGGTGTGGTTTTGCGTCTATATGTTTTAAAAAAAATGGAGGAACCTACAGTTTATACTGAGCCGCCTTCGAACGGCTGGCGGTTTCTTATGAGGAAAATTTATTTCATGCCAGAAATACACTCAGAGGGGTTGAATTTTCTACCCAGGGACGACCGCAATTAGAAAATTTAGCTTTATTCTTCATTTAAATTAATGCGATGATCTCCGAAACAGTTGTCCCTTCCATCTCTTCTATTTTCTTGTTGCACAATATAACAAAAACATTCAATTCACACAATCAACAAGGTCTTTAGCTCACTAAAAATTGATGACAAAAACTAAAAGCACAGGCAGTAAGAACAATTTAGAAAAGCTATTTAACATGATAATTAATGGGGCATGATCAGATGAGAAATCAGCACTGGTTTCAGTAAATAGAATCTTGTCTAATCTACATTTTTAACGGTGCGATCCAGGAAACGAAGTTTACCGCCCGCTCAGATCTTCTGAGTCGGACCGGATACAGAATTATTCGCAAGGATCGCAAACGCGACCAAAGTGGAGGCTTATCGTTTATCCTACACAACACCGAGCAGTATCGTCTTATCGACCGCAGATATACTACCCTAGAATGTCAGTTCATACCTAAGCGATCAGGCAATGCCGAGCTCTATATATTTAGGATATACATTCCTCCTCTTATAGGTGCGCTACTCATCGATTGACAGGCCTCCCGACTTTGTTTCCGAGGACGACCGGAAATTTGTTAACTTTAAAAAAGCTGACTGCCCCGGATTCATGGAATTCACTGAGAACGCCTTCAGTGCTCTTCCCGCTCCATCAGACGTCACCACTGGTGAACGTTTATTCCGCAGGGTCGTCGTGACCGTTGCCGCCCGCTTCATCTCGGCAGGCCGAGTCGCGGAAGTCCGCCCAAATTTTCCGACAGAAGCGGCGGTGTTTGGATCCAGGCGCGACATCCTCCGAAGCTCCGATCCCGGGTATCCCCTAACCAGGGATTTAAACTAGGAGATTCGAAGAGTGGTCAATATTCACCAGCGGAAAAAGTGGGAGGAGCACCTAAGGACCTGCAACCTCTCCTCTGGGGCAACCAAGCTCTGGGCTACGGTCAAGTCGCCGTCTTACCCGACGAGACGTGATTACCGGGTAGAAATTTCATTCGGAGACCGCGCCTTGTCGGACCCAAAGAGACGCGCGAGCTATTTTAGCCGACTTTTACCACTGTATCCCTCGGTATACAAAGCGAAACGACGTGTAACCCGCCGTAAGCGCAAACTGCCAAACACCAGCGCGGTGCTTGATTTCTTGAGGGAGGAGGTTCGAAGGGTCATCGGGAAGCGAAAGCCTCCAAATCTATCGGCCCCGACGGAATAAGCATGCTGAAGCTGAAACACCTAGGACCAGCGGGAGCAGAATTTCTCACGAGCGTCCTCAATTTTTCCTTGACCACCCTGAAGATACCCGATGTGTGGAAAATGGGTAGGGTGGTCCCGCTACTTGATCCGGGGAAACCAGCCAACAAAGGAGAGTCCTATCGGCCGATAACTCTCCTCTCCCCAGTAGCGAAGACACTCGAGGCCTTACTACTACCGACCTTCCCTCACCATCTGCGCCCAGCAGCGCATCAGCATGGCTTCCGAAAAGTGCACAGCACCACAACAGCACTTAACGCCATAAACACCCAGATAGCCCATAGTCTTAACCAAAACCGACCCTGCGCGCGAACTGTCCTAGTAGCACTGGACTTGTCAAAAGCTTTTGACACAGTCAATCATTCAGTGCTACTAACGGACATTGAGGAATACTCATTACCGCCGGGGTTGCAGAGGTGGGTCATGGGCTACCTGAGTGGTCGACAATCATCGGTAATATTCCTTGGTGTAAACTCATTGAAATTATACAGGAGGTTCCGCAGGGTGGTTTCCTCTCCCCGCTGCTGTTTAATTTTTGCATCTCGAAACTCCTCCCACCAGAAGGAGTTTCCCTAACCTCTTATGCCGATGATTGTACGATAATGGCGTCTGGCCAGGATATTG